TAACTCCAGAAGGCCAAAGGTGGACAGAAAGGCAAAAAGTTCCCTTTTTTTTTCTTTTCTTTTTGAGGAATTGATGCAGTGGTACCTCACTCTTTGGAACAAAGAGGAGAAAAAAATAAGCTGAGGGGCACTTTGTAACAAATATCCATGTGTAAAAGGGGTGTTTCTACTCAATACCACGGATGAAATACGGTTTTGTTGGGCATTGCTACAGGATTTCATCAGTCTGTGCATGGATTTTGCTCCACTGAGGGGCTACGGCAGTCTTCGGTGGAGTAGAATCTCTTCATATTTATGGGTTTTATCATGTGCTGCTTTATACTGAGTTGTTCAAAGAGGACCACTGACCCTTTGAAAATCCCCCTGCAGAGATCCTTGCCCAAAATGCATGGAACAGAAGGTACCACCCCAAGCTATCATTAGGTCTGTGGGAGCAGGAGCAGAAACTGTGCCAGACCCATTTCTCCTCCATTCCTTTCACATTCACTAGCACGACTCCAGCCCAGGGATCTTCCTTTCTTTCCTCAGTGCAGGGCCACATTGCAAGCAGTGGAATTCCCTGTGGCTCCCTCCATTAAAGTTTGCAGCTTCACACCCCTCTCCAGTTACAGCTGATGGCTGCACAAAATCCTGATGGCGTCTCATATATGTTCCCATATATTTGCTCATGCATAAAAGTTAACTGGGAAAATAAGTATTTTAGGAAACTCTGTGAAACAGACCACAGAATGTTCAGTTTTAAGATGCCAATAAATGGCCTTATCAGAGAGTATTTCTGGAATATAAGTTCAGACCACACGTTCTCCACCTGATTCATGCTCCGCAGGAGGCATCCAAACACGGTCCTACTCATCATAGAATCATTAAGGTTGGAAAAGACCACCAAGATCACCAAAAGAACCCCAAGTCCAACCTCGATGCACCCCCACCATGTCCCCAAGTGCCACATCCACCATTTTCTTGAACACTCCTAGGGATGGTGACTCCACCACCTCCCCGGGCAGCCTGTTCCAGTGCATTGCCACTCTTTCTGAGAAGACATTTTTCCTGATAGCCAACCTGAGCCTCCCAGTCGTGAACACAAAAGGGCAAAGTCACGGCTGTAAATTCTGACCTCATCACCACCGTCCTTCTGTTCCGTAGGCTGACTGTTCATCTCCACTGAATCTGCCCTCTCTGCTGCACTGTGGCCCCATAATCTCAGGGGCCAACCACCATGCAGCAAAAACAATGAAATTTTCTTCCACTCTTCCTGGGATTTGAGCCAGAGCTTCCAAGTGCAGCAGGATTTGAAGCAGTGACATAGACCTTCCAGGCAGCTCTTCCCCACAAGGCATCCTCTCCATGCAGGTGCCTTGCAAGTGTGGTGTTCCAGAGCTGTGCTTCTGCATCCCACATGCACCTTTGGGCAGCTCTGCATTTCTTCCACTTAGCGGACGCTTTACACATCCATGCATTACAGAAGGCCAATATTGGTATACTAAAATATAGCAAGGTCAGAAGTCATTGCTATTGGCTAATGAATGGGTTGTGTGGGGAGGAGAAATCGTTGGAAGCTGCATTTCACCTGCAGTCTGCTAGCCTGCCCTTTTGCTGCTGGCATTCATTTGTTGTCGTGTAGTTACGTGCTGGACTGTATTTGCAGGGCCCCTGTTATGGAGGAAGACATCATTTCCCAAAGGAAATGCCACGTTAATGCTGGCATGCCTGAATGGAATATTTCTCAATTGTGTAGAATGAGCTTTTTTTTTTTTCCAAAGCAGCTTTCCCCAGCAGACCTCATGGTTGAGCAAGCCCAACTCAACGTCAGTTATGCATTTTGCATCCCATCCTTGCCCTGCAGAGTGCTCCAGGGTTGTCCTTCTGTACTATAATCACTGTGCCAGCTCCCTGGAGTCCCCATGGTTGAGCAAGCCCAACTCAACATCCATTACACATTTTGCATCCCGTCCTTGCCCTGCAGAGTGCTCGGTGGTTGTCCTCCTGTGCTACAATCACTGTACAAACACATAACCGTGGAGGGCATTAAAAAAAGTATGTTCTGTGCTCCGTTCACCTTTTTGGAAGAGGAGAGAGAGACAAAAAACGTTTTGGCATTATTTTGCATTTATTTCACTGGCATGTGTATGAACAACACGGAGACCAAAAGCTTTTTTGCTCCTAAAATGGCAAGCTCAAGGTGTCTGAATTATCTTTTTAGTGAATACTTTAACCCACGCTTCTATTCCAGTTTAGCCATAAGAAGTCTAAAATAGCACCCAAAAAGTCCCTTTTTCTGATCTTAGGGTCTGTCCTGCATATGAGAGATTTGCTGAACGCACAGGGAGATCAGTGTGGTCCTCAATCAAGATCACCTATTGTTAATTAGGAGAGCAGTTCTGAATAATCTCACAGGGCTACTGAAGATGTAAACCTTCAATATCCGAACTGGGGTGCTGCTACCCCCTGCACTGGGGAGGAAAGGCCCTCGATCTTCTCTGCTAATGGCTTTCAGGTTGATGAGTGGCTCTCGCTTGCTTTTTCGAGCAGGAAGACGTCTGTAACAGTGAGACTTATTAATTTTATTTAAAGTGCTAAGGCTGACATCCTGGAGCTGTGGTCTCTTAAAATCTTTCTTAATTGTTATGGAGCAGCTTTAAGAGCACTTTAAGATGTCTCTATTTACAAGTTTAAAAAAAAAACAACCTATAACATCTTAAATCTTCTAGCAGAATTCCCATTCGTTTGGACATTTACCAGAGACAGTTATTACCCCATGGATGAAAATGCATTCGCAGTCAGGAGATTATTCCCTCCAGTATCCTGCAGCAGTTAGATACATAAGCCCAATTTTGAACAATATAAATCAATTTCTTTGTTTCTGTGCATCCATCTGGTGAAGAAAATGAGGTGTTTGCTGTTAAGTGAAGAAGCAGTAGGGCTATTTCCTAGATGTTAATAGGTTACACGATATTTATTTCGTCTCTCTTTCATTTGAAAACTGTTCTGTATTTTTTTTTCTGATTATAAAACCTAAGTGGAGCCTTTTCTGGTTTGGATTGACCTATATGTGTAAGTATTTTGTTTTTCCCATCTGAGGAAGCTACCTCTGCTTCTCCAAAGTTTGCTTTTGAGGCAGTAGGGGCCTTGAGGTCATTGCTGCAGAGACAGAGTGGGGCAACCTGCCTCCCTGCTCTCCATGTCCAACCCCCATCCCAACCCTCAGCCCTTCACTCCCATGGACCTTGTCCTGCCCAGCCAACATGCTGCCAGCTCACTGAGACCAAATGCAGAAGACAACCACATTTTCCCTCTCCACTGAGTGAAAATTTAACCGAACCAACAGAAAAAGAATAAAAAAGACAAAGGCACTGGCAATGGGCTCAAGAGCAGTTTCTCAGTCTACACTCCCAGTTTGCCCAAACTCCTACTCTTATTTCTTATGGCTCTAGCAGGGCTGTTTTGTCCATGAAGGATTTGTGTGTCGTGCTTACCCTTGTTGCTTCTCTTGGTTACGTGCATGGATCCACCATGAAAGCTTTATTTATCCCAAGCATTGGATGAGCTCTGTGTGCCCTCCCTCACATACACACCACTCCAACTCACAGAGGTGAGGGCTGCAAAGCCAAAATGCCTAATGAACAACCTCCTCCAGTCTTAAAATGTTTACAGCCCCCAAAAACGCCAACAGAGATGGGGGAGGGCCCCAGGTCTCCGGTGATATTTGTTCCAACGTGGATCAAAGGAGGCTCCTTCTGTGCCTCCCGTCAGGCTCTGCACTGCAGGATGGAGGCTGTAAAATTTATTTGTAGAAGCTGTGCATTTGCAAAGAGGGCTCTAAAAACGTTATTGAAAAATGTCTTCATTCCCAAAAGCCTCACTATAATTTTAAAGTGTAAATAAAAATAGCGGTATTTGCTTACGCTGGAGAGCTCTAAAACTCTACTTGGGAAGTAAGAAAATCCTATTCTGCAACTTAAAATTATGATTCATGGTTCCTTTTCCAACCTCCAAGCACTTCTGCGACATAAAATGTGAAGCTAAGCATTTGCTTTTCATTTAAAAGGTCTCATTAAGACCAAAAACGAGCTTCTTCAGCCCCATAATGCCTTTAACACGTCAAACCTAATAGAAGCTCTTCACCATGGGGTGCCTTTGGAGGACTTGGAAGCATCAAAAGGATCCTGCTGTTTTGCAAGACCAACATGCTTCTTTCTCCCAGATATATCATTCCAAGACCGCCGTTTAGTGGCGGACTTCAGCCCATGCTTGGATCCATTTGTCTGCTGCAGAGACACTTAAACAAGTGCTGCCATCCCATCAAAGCCAACACCACTTAAACTTCTTCATAAAACTAAGCAGATTCTTAGTGTGTGGCACTCAGCTGAGTTACAGGGTCTGTGTCCCCAGCACTGTCCTTAATTAAGAGTTTCTCTTGGTTTTAATAGGTGTTGCACCAAGCTCTGGCGTGCTGTGCTCCACTCTGACTTCATGGCCATGTTGGTTCTTAATAGCACTGTGGAGGTCTCTATAGGAGCGCTGCTCCTCCTATAGGCACAACCCATCACATTGCATAGGAATACTTTTCAATTTTGCCAAAATGTGGCCGTTTCACCTGAAATTTCCAATGGGAATTCTGATGGGAAGTGGGATTCTTTTTCTTTTTTTGGCTAGTTATGCACAGCAGTTGCTAAGAAGACAGTGGGCAGCAAATGCTACATCTAACGAAGTGTCTGCATTTAGGACACATTTGGTGAAGTCGCTATTTTCATTGGGAAAGCAGCTTTGTCTGGAAGGAGAAGTTGTAGATTTTTGACTTAGTCCTGACCCCACTCAACACCACTAAAATAACTGTGATAAAGGAGAGAGTGCTGAGTGGCATATTTGGTTAGGATAGCATAGCAAATATTATCCTTGCAGCAAAGCTTTTGCACATTTCTGTATTTGGAAATGTTTCACTTTTCCTTTCCTGGCCAATCTCTCTGCAGCGCTTCTTGGTTGGAGTTCCTGTTTGTCAATTGTCCCATTTTTGGCTACAAGAGCTCTGAGGTTTCAAGCTGAAGATGAGAAACTTGCACTTTTGTGGTTTGGGGTGTAAGAATATGAAAACCAGGGGATTTTCACCCTGACCCCAAATCCCGCAGCGTTCCAGCACGTCTGCTTATCCCGGCAGTGTTTATGTCGGATCTGAGCCACCAAATACCAGGCCACCTCCTTTTTCTAGCTTTTATTTTTATTTTTCTGGTTGGTTCTGCTGCCCGCTGGATCTTGCAGAGTAACAGTTGAAGACAGAAATGCCCGAGAGCGAAAAAAGGTAATTATACAGTAAGTCAGCCCTTGCATAACTTGTAAACTTTATGATCTTGCACTTTTATGTGACGTATTTATAAACCAAGGAAGATGCCTAGCTAGAAAGAAAAAAAAAACCAAGAATTCTGCAATGTGTGAATACAGGTACCAGTAAAATAGGAGAATTCCAAGAGACGTCTGTTCTTTTCCTTCTTCCTTTCACCCACAGCAGGGAATTGAATTGCTGGAGTGACATTTCTTCACTCTTCTATTGAAGAAGGAAAGAATCCTCTGACAACAGACCATAGAAGGGAAGTGATGGGGGCAGATCCCAACGACCTGCTTGCCGTTCAACACCTTGCTCTGGCTTCTTGCCTTACAGAGGCACTCAGCGCTGGATTCCTCCTTTCCTGTATTCCCAGAGCATAATTACTCCATTCCTTTGATGGCAATAATCTGAACTTTGAAATGTGGGAAGATGAATCAGACGCGAGATGGATGGAGTCATTTTCTAGAAGCTGCTCAGGCTGTATTCCCATCCAAAACAAGGGTTATTGACGGTCTTGGTGACCACAACCACCATCTCACACTAATTACTCTCAGTTGCTCCTACATCATGCACAAAAATGTCTGAGAAAAGGGCCGTATCCGAAGGGGCAGGATCTGATGAGTTAACAATCACCCTATTTACCCCCCTGTGACATCCTATCGCCCTGGGTGATTGGAGTCACCTCCATGGGTGGGATTTTTCATTGGGGGCTGAGATGTGGATTTTCGGTAGTGGATGTTTTAGTTTCAATACCCACCAATGAAATGAGATTTTTTTTCTGTGTATAAGATCTTTGGATTGATTGTGCTGAGACACTTGGGCTCCAGTCCTTCCTGGTTGTTATTACTGAATCATTAAGGTTGGAAAAGACCTCTAAGATCACCCATCCAACCCCAGCCCATCCCACCATGCCCATGACCACTCAGTGCCACATCCCCACAGTTCTGGAACACCTCCATGGATGGTGACCCCACCATTCCCTCAGCAGTGTGGGTCAATGCATCACCACAATTTGCAAGAAAAAATTGTTCCTAATATTCAGTCTGAGCCTTCCCTGGATTATTTTTTCTTGCAAGACAGCATGCAATAAGACTGTATACACCAGGTGCTTTTTTTACAATGCAGTAGGAATAAAGTCCTTCTCCATGCTTCTCCTCTCTGTTCCAGAGCTTTGCTGGGTGCACATGGTGTTGATTCAGCCTTGAGATGATGTGTAGATGACACCCAAAGCCTCAGTGGGGTAAGGTCCAAGATGAGCATCCTGCAGTGCTGGATGGAAAAAGGGCCTGAGGGAGGGGGGAGCCTCACCAGTAATAAAGAGATCTGATAGCAAATGGGAAGGTTACCTGGCAACATTCCTGTCCAATTAAAGCATATTTATTGTCAAATTGCTTCCTTATTGCTGCCCTGTTATTAATTGTTAATGTGGTGCTGCACTCTGTATAGGGGTGCTGCAAAAGGCTGAGATCAGGGGGCCTGAAAGGACGTTTTCCGTGCAAAGAATCATGAGTGCTCATTGCTGGCTCTGCTCTGCAGGCTCTGGCAGGAAATTCCTGCTCTTGGAACAAGGGGGCAAACGGGTGGCAAAGAAAAATAAAATGTGTGGGGTCACCGGGTTCCTAAATTACAGTGGTGTGTGCATGTGAAATGCTTACAGAAAAAGAGACACCATGAGAATGGAAATCTGCAAAACACCGTTTAGGAACCTTGAGCTGTTTTCTCTATAAATAGAATTCTTTGTTTCACACTGAAATGAAAAGTGCTGCATCTTTGGGTTCTCACCGGGCTTCGCTGTGCGCAGCCTGATCTGATCGGTCCCCCACCCTGACTGCATGGAACCAGTGAGGCTGAGTTATCAGGAGATGGGCAGATCTCAGCCAAAAGGACAAAACAAATAAAAGAAGTTTGAATTGGAGCAGGACTCAGCATAGAATCATAGAACATCTTGAGTTGGAAGGAACCCATAAGGATCACTGAGTCCAACTGCTGGCATATGGAGATGATCGACATCATTCATGCATTCCAACCCAACAGCATTGAGAAAACACAGCTTTTGCATTTTTATTATCTTCTTCTTTCTGTGTGGAAAAGGAAAACCTCCATTTCCAAACCCTCTTCAGCAAAACCCAAATGTTTTTGTATTCAGGATGAAAGCAGCATTCACCAAGCCACGTGCTGAACATGGGAGAGACCCCAGAGCTGCCCCACCAGCACCTGGGCTTCAATGCCTCTTTAGTTAGGTGGTGCTCTGGGCTGTGCTGCCCACTAAAGTTCCATTTATAGACATTTTACAACGTGCTAATAAATTTACAAAGTGTTAATAAACAGGGATAATTGTTTGTTAGTGTTTCTGAAAGAATCCAACCGGGCAAAAACTCCCTATAAAGGGTCTCTAATGCTGCTCCTCGATGAGCATATAAAACATGTCCGACACGGACATGTAATGTGGGCAGAACATCTTTGAGCCATTAACTCCTTGTAGCCCAGATAAAAGCAGGACTTTCCAAGAAGTGTGGTTTTCTGATTCTGTGCTATGTGCATATGGTAAGAATTCGGTTCTAAAGAACCTTTTTTTATGGAGCTGAATGGTGTCCGGTGCCCAGAAGAAATTCACTCGTGCCAGAGTCATCAAATGCCTTCCCAAAAACGCAAGTGACATCTTGGATTACAGTGATCCCTTTGCAATAGGACAGGTTTTTCTTTTAATGCATACTATGATCCCATGTTTGCCATGCGTGGTTCTGCCTGAACCAGGAAACGCTCACATTTCTGAGCCCCACTGTAGCAAAAGAGAATGTAATTAATTGCTTAAAGAGGGCAACATGCTTAACTAAGAGTTGGCAAGCTCACATCTCCATTCCTGCACTATGTGCATCAATTTTGCCCTGGCCAAGGGAGGATCCAGGAGAGCAGCTATTCTGCTGCAGAATATGCAGCTGTGTTTCTGCCTTGGGGAGCACAGGGAGCAGAGCAGAGCCTTCTTCCCACCCCATCCACACAGCACTACCCCAAATACAGAGGATGGATTGCAGTGGGCAGAACCCATTTTCAGCCTGAGATAATCTACAATGAAAACAATCTCCTGGGATTCCAAGGAAAACCCAGGAACCTTCGTATCTGCAAGACTTTTTGGGGTGAGATCTTGGCCTCCTTGAATACAAAGGGGAACTCCCTTCGATTTACACAGTTCTTGGCTTGTTGCCTTCAGGCCCGAGCTTCGCTGGATTGCAAAACTTTAATCATCTTTCCATAGCGGGGAAGAAAACCATCCCAGCTGCTGGGATGAGCTTGCAGACAGAGCATTGCTGCAAACAGAAGCTTGTGTGAAGCCATGGGTTTGGAAAGGGGCTGTCGGTGTCTTCTTTGCAGGAACAGAACTCTCTCAGTGTTTTCACAGGTGCTGCAGATACAGCAGGGCTGTCCGGCTCCCTTCCTGCCCAGCACCAAGTGTTTCCTCTGTGCTGGTGATATCATGTCAGCTAATGGGCTTTAATTGTGCCACCCCACTTAGCAGCAACAAGCTGAAAGCTCATTATGTGCTGTCCTTGTGGCTGCTATGAGCAGCTCAAAGCCTTTCCAATGGTCAGAGCTCTTCCTGAGAGCACAGCAACAGCAGCGCAGAGTGGGAGCGAGGAGTTCAGATTGGGTATTTGGAAAGGCTGCTTCTCAGAAGGAGTGGTGATGTATTGGCACAGGCTGCCAATGGGAGCTGGGAGAGTCACCACCACTGGAGGTGCTCATGAAACATGGAGACGTGGCACTGAGGGACATGGGGCGTGGAGCTGGTGATCTTAGAGGTCTTCTCCAGCCTTAATGATTCTATGATTCAAACTGTGCCAGTGACAGCCTGCTGTCTGCCTGCATTTGCCTACACAACCTGCGTCACCCCAAAGCTAATGCTTCAGGCAGCAGTAAAGGAGTACAAAGTCACCCTCTTAAATATCCAATGGGAGAAAGAATGGATTGTTCTGTGCTTACGAGACTAATTGGATTTGGGAGAAATAATTTAATGATTTGGTGGTAATGAGTTACTGGATGGCTGATTCCAGCAGAAAGTCCAACCGTGGCATCGCGCCAATGGTCTGCAAGTGAGATCTCTCTTGGAGTCCAAGAAGGAACCAGTGCTAGGTCTTGAGCATGGAATAGAGCTCCAGGGCTGCTTCTGATCTCATTTCATGCCTCTATAACTCCTTAGCCATGATTTACACTGATATCACTGAGACTCCGATTGGACCTTAATTTTTTTATGTAGCATTTCCTAAAGCTGTGGAGCACTGCTGTGGATCTGTTCCATCAATGAAGAAGGATGAGATATCCAGGTACTGATTATATTATTTTGCTGCCTTGATTCTTCCTTGTGTAAATTGAATTTTGGGGTTTTTTCAAGCAAAAAGCCCTAAGTTTGACACGTGATGCTGGAGATGTGGGGGCTTTGGGGAGTGAAAAGAGGATGTTTAGTTGAGGACTTTACATAACATTGAACTTTCAGCCTTGGGACACAGGACACGTTTTCCTCCCCTTCTCTCTCTCTGTTAGTCCACTGTGCATTGGAAATTGTTACTGTGTCATCCTTCAATCTTCTCATTTTTAGATATCTCATCCCCTTTGTGCTCTCTCCTGCACTTCCTTCCATCAGCCCATGTCTATGCTGAAGTGCAGCAGTATTACAATGCCACGTGTGCAGCTTGCACACAATTATCTCACGCTCTTTGTACAACCACTCAGATGTTCTTCCTGGCAGCAAACTGTGACTCTCTCTGAGCAAAAACAGTTTTCCAACCAATTTTACCCCTGAAATGGTGTATCCTTGGGCCTTATACCACAGCTGGCTTGAGAATGTACCACATGAGTTAACACAGAAGCCTTCCTAAGACCAAGACAAATGATTTTTGACCATTCTTCCTCATCTCTTTACTCTCTCTTACTCTATAGAAGAGGAAATTAGATCAATTTGGTGTGATCTGAGCAAATTTATGACAGCTATGACTCACTGTACGTCTCAGGACATCCCTCCGTATCAGACTAATGGTTACACAACAACAAAGCTTAACATCTTCACAACGTTTCCTTTCCAGAAAATTGTCAAATATCACAGAAAAATGGATACTCCTTCATGATCGGAGTGGCTTTGTTCAAACCACTGCACCCCAGACAGCCTGAGCTGTGGTCGTGGTCTCCACAATCAAAGCTGTCTTTCAAGCACATTGTAGAATGGAAGTTGGTAGTTGATAATTTACCAGTCAGACTATCAGTGCTAATTACTATGCTTCTCTGGTGGAACAAAGAGATTGAAAAAGAAACGGACAAAAAGGCTTCTCTAGGAGAAGGGCGGCTAATTCACAGATTTCTGTTATTAGCATTTTCCTTATCTGGAAATGTAAATGTTCCAAAAAAGTGCGTTCTCATCAACAGAGTATGAACAAGAACTTTTGAAATCCCCTAATTCCTTATGTGTCCTTAACTGAGATATATAATTATATGGATGCACGCAGCTCAGGATTTTGTCACAAGTTAATGAAATTCATCTGACTTTGTAGGAAACTTTTTTTATTTCATTCACAGAGAAGATGTATCATGTTATTATTTTATTTTATTTCTGCCCATAGGACCTATCAATACATACATTTGGGCAAATAAGTATTTACCAGAAACTCCTGGTGACCATTTAAGATCAGTAAGCTGGCAATGTTAGTTTGAATAAGCAGCCCTCATAAAGGAAACTACGTTGAATTTTTGGCATGTTGGCAAAGAATTTCTGCCAAGACTTTGCATAAAATGAACATTAAAGGCCATGAAAGGTGTTTATTCACCTTTTCCTTGGCAGTTCAAAGGAGCTGTAATGGCAAAAGCTTGGTACTGGGAACGGAGGTGGTGATCCTTGGTTTCCGCTTCCAGCCATTCAATGTCAAAATGCTGCCAGAAAACACTTTTTTGTTTTCATCAAATGCATAAGTTGTGGTCTAGATTAATGAAAAATAAAGTCTTTGTTCAAGTCCTTGTTGAGTGCTCACGATGGGCCCTTCACCACAAGTGTTGGTGAAGCTAAATCACCATCCACATCAAACCAACGGTGTGGTTTTTGGAAGCTATGGTTTCTTCTCGCAGGGCAGCCTTTTGGCCATGAAGATGCTGAACCATTGTTCAGAACTGGGTTTACGTCCATCTCAGGTTGTTTACAGACAAAACAGTGGTGATGACACCCCTGAAATTTCCATACGCTGTTCATTAATCATCTCCAGCTAATCTGAACAATTGAGTTGGTGAATGTCTTTGTAAATGTCATCGGTAAATGTCTTTTGCAGACTAGTCATAGATAGAATTAAGATTCTGCCCTGCTGGTTGTCAAGTTCTCTCTCCTATCCAGGAAGCATGAACGAAACCAAATGCAGTAGATAGAACTTCCATGGCTGAGGGCTCAGAGTCACCTTCACCCACACACCAGTGGCACCCCAACCAGCTACCTGTCTGAGATGCAAATCTCATATTTCAGATTTTATAGTCTTGTGTCTGGCTCATTCCTGAGCCAGCCCTTTCCATAACCAACACACTGGTGGTTTTCAGAGCTAAATGCTAAAACCACGTCGGCAGATCGATTAAGAGGTGCAGCAAGGAACCAATTTTTCAGAGAAAGGCAAAGTGGTGAGTGAGGTGGAAGTCAGAGAGGTTGACCCATGCAGTGAAGGTTGTATGTGAGAAAGATCTCAAAATGGCAAAAAGATGGGACTACAGGGACATGAGGAAAAGGAACAGGATGGGACAATGCCCTGCAAGCCCAGCCTAAGGAAAGCAACGGGCATTCCATTCTCATTGGACAATCCATATGCAACCTGTGAGTAAATAATTTGAAGCTATAATTCAATGGACTCTGCCAGTTCTAATTCCATCCCTAGTTCAGCAGTGAGACTGTAGATCTGGTTCTCTATATACTAACCTATAAAGTTTTGGTGTCCCAGGCAAAAAGGAGGTAAAGCAGCAACTTGGCAAAGTAATCCTAAAAAGCCATTTGCTTATTTTACTCTAGAGGCTTACCTGTCAAACTCAGTCTGAACTTCTAACAAATGCAGGCCAGGAGCAGACCTCAAGCAGTCAGCAGCACAGCACTTTGTTTGGGGAAGGTGAGCAGAAAAATGACATCGTTCTCTATTTCAGAAGCCCTTCATCTCATTGGATGAAGTTCATTTGCAGTATGGGACATGGAAAGAGGGTCGCTCACACAGGTACACACAGCTCACCTCCAGGAGCATGGGGAACACGTTTCTGCAGAGCTAAGCTCCTGAAGTGAGTGTCCAAAGCCTTTCCAAGGGAGTGCCAAAGCACATTTTCTTTTCCCGACTCAGAAGCTGAGCATGCAGCAATACATCTCCTCTCAATTCCAAACTCGGGAGAAGTAGGGACCCAGATAAATGTGTCGGCTCCACCCCAGCCAGGCGAATGCCCCCCTGGGACTTGGTTTGATGTCTTTGCACTGCTGTTTCTCTGATTCCATTCTCCATTCCTATTCTTAAAGTACACGGATTGGTTTGCTGGACATTTCTGCAAATTGATGCATGGGGGGCATTATGCTGAACTTCATTACTTCTTAGATTGACCTGTCCTGCCTGCCTCACTGTCATCATGTCACCGAAGTTTAGTGGCGTTTGGCTGCCTGTTCCTCTTAGGGTTACCCCAGGGCTGCCCCAAGCCCCTGCCACGTGCAGCCCCTGCAGTCACAGCTGACTCTCTCTCTCCAGTGACCTCATCAGCCACGGTGTTTTGTTAATCCTACAGCTTGCACAGAGGGCTGAATAGTCTCACGGAAATCAGATGGTTCCCATTGCACACACAGACAAACACAGTGTGTGCACGCAGCAGGGTATGGGCTCACCCTGGGCAGCTCCTTGCATGGCCCAAGGCACATCAGCCCCAGCACCCAGCTGAGGACTCCCAGATCCAGCTATTTTGTCCAGAACAAGTCATGTTTCCCTTCCAAGGAAAGATTTCTGGGGCAACCCAGCAGTTGCACTTCTCCAAGGAACGGAGTTCAATTACATACATTTTATTTCTCTTCTTTTTTTTTTTTTCCCAATGATTGACACAAACTTTGTTTACAGCTGAGGTTTCTCAGAATTAGCAGTCCTAGAATAACAATGGCTCTGATCAACCACCTTCTACCAGGGCTTCTTATCTTTTCCTTTCTGCCCTGTATCTTTTGGCTGCAGTTCCAAAGCGAAGTTGGAACACAAACAGCTTCCAAACCGCAGTGCACAACTCACTATCCAAAAAAGCACTGCTACAACTCCAGGCAGGCGCACAGTAAATCACCCCATGGAGGCAGCAGCGTGCATTCCCCCGACCGAAAGCAACCCTGTAGGAAAGGCCACTGAGTCAAATAAAGCCCTGCTGTTTCCACTGAGGGTGGCGTTGGCCCTGGATGGTCGCAGATGTCAGATTATTCTGATGCACGGCGTCACGCAGGCACAGCAGATTCACATTACAGAGGTCAAGCTAATACCAGCGCGGTTGGGGTTGAAGTATTCTGCTCCTGATTTAATGCTGAAGGCCAAACTGAGGCAGACTTCTGGAATTCAGTGGCCCTTGGGAACAGGCTCTGAGGGGATGTGGAGGTTTAACCCTCTGAGCCCCCTGTGCTCACTGGTGAAACTCCCAAACCTAACCCTAACCCTAATTCTAACACTAACCTTAAACTCAATCCTAATCCTACTCCTAGTACTAACCCTAATTCCAACCCCAGTCCTAACCTTAGCCCTAACCCCAGCTATTCCTAACCCCAACTCCAACCCTAACTGTAACACCAATTCCAACTCTCACTCCAAACCCTAACCCCAACTCCAATCCTAACCCTAACCTTAACCCCAAACTCCACCTTAATCCCAACCCAAACCCTAAACCTAACCCTAACACTAACCATAATACAATGCTAACCTTAACACCAAACCCAGTACTAATCTGAGGTGCAAAAAAAAAAAAAAACAAGCCCAAACTTCAACCCTAAGGCCAACCCCAAACCCAGGGCCAACCCAAATCCTAAGCCTAACCTTAATCTTAACCCTAACCCTGATGCTTAAACTTAACCCTAATCCTAACTCCAACCTCAACCCTAAGACCAATTCCAACCCTAACCCTAATCTTAACCGTAACCCTAACCCCAACTCCAACCCCAGCCCTCTCTCCATTCCACCCTAACCAAAACTCCAACCCAACCCTAGCCCTAATGCCAACCCTAGCCCCAAACATAATCCCAGCCCTAACACTAAGCCTAAACCTAACCTTAACCCCTAACCTAAATTCAGCGCTAACCCCAACCCCAACAAAAACCCCAAGTCTACCCTAACCACAACCCTAACCCTAACCATTCAGATGGGGATTTTGTAGCCCCATAAGCTTGCAGTGACCCATGGAAGAAGTGGTTTTGAGTCAACCCTGAAGCCTGCCTGTGCCTCAAGCAAGATCCTCCTGCCCCAGAAAACATCCAAACCAAAGCCAATGCTCTGCCAACCTTCAAGTGCGGGTCCCCTCATATTTTCCTCATTGTTTTCCTCCTGTTGGGCTTCAGGATGGGAACATTGGGGCCAAAAGGGCCGTTCAGGCTGCTGGGACAGAAAGGTGCTCTCTGTGTAGGAGTGTCATGGAGAAAGCACAACTGGACAAGCTTCTGTTCCCATCATCCTGCCTCACCCTTCTGCACCCTTCTCCCTTGCAGTGAGTCTGATGCTTCTGCACATCTCGGGAGGAAAAGCTTTCCATCACATTGAAATGTGAAGCTTCCTCATTAGAATTTAATTTGCAGCGATAGAGAGGAAATTATCATGTCAATGCAGAGAAAAGAAACAGTGATTCGGGAGAGGAGCTTTTTGATAAATCGTACCAAGCACTTTTATCTCCATGGGCTTAAATGAAGATTTGGCTCAGGGAGGTTTGTACATGGCTTTATAATGACTGCCATGGAAGGGACAGATGGCCCGAGTGACAGTTGAGACCTTCCTGTATATTTATTTTTTTCTGGAGAGCTGTAGCAGTTGTCATGGCAACTCCCATTACAACAAAACCCACAAATATCTTTTCAATTAATCCCTGAAAAAAAAGAAAAAATCCCAGAGCCAGAGAGGGAAGGCCACCTCCATAGGGAGCCTACAGTGGGGTCATAGCCCATAAACCATCTCCCATCAGTGGGTTTGGGCTCCTCTGAGCTCCTCCCCTTGCTTTCGGCAGCAGCATGTCCAGACCTGATCTTCTGCTGGGTGTAACCACTTCTTTTTGATTTCTACTCACTTTCTTTTCTTTTCCAGATAATCTGCCATCTTTGAACATCCAACTCTTCGCTTGGAAAGACCAACGTTTAATAATTGTTCCACATCTCCCCAAATTGTTTTTCCTCTCCCATTGTCTGCATTGCCACATCTTTTGGGAGAAGGAATTTTTCTTGTTCTCCCCAAGCTGGACTCACAGAGACATCATGAATTACAGCGCTCCCTCACTTTGATGTCTCTGATGCTTTGGGCTAAGTTTCTGGGAAACAGTGCTTAAGGCACGGGGAAGTGGAGAGCTGGGAAAAGGACACAGCAGTCCTTGAAGACAAACACAATTATGGGTGAGAAGCCTCTCCTTAGAATGACTCAGAGCACTTTGATTCTCTCTGCTGGCTCCGGATGCTGAGCTGCCCACATCCTACCAGGACAGGCCTAGGACATGTCCTGCACACTGCACCTCACCCCAGCAAAAGAATGGTCTGGTAGCGGGAGATGCTCCAGCTCTCATCAGGAAACAGGTTTATGGCCACAGCTTGGAGGAGGACTCATAGCCCTGGGGCCAAGGTAGGCAGACAGAAGCCTAGTAGAAGTTCAGCATTGCACAGCAAGCAACTGCCCAAAGCAGGGAAGGCTGAGGACATAAGTGTCACCCTGCTGGGAAGGCTGATGGGCTTGAACCTTGGTTCAAATGAGACAAGTGCATGGTGCAAGGCTGATGGTGCACCAGCTGCTGGAATCCTCTTGCTTTCGGAGCTCATTGCTCAAAGCTCATTGCTCAAAGCCCTGCTGCTCCCTTCCAGACTTGCTTTCAAAGCGCTTTCCTCTCTTATACATATTTCTCAATAAGGATATAGAAATAAATTACGTGCAGAAAAAAAAAAAAAACAGCTTGCCTTGTTCAGGCCTATTCGTTCCCAATGGTTTTGTCCCAGAATAAACACAGACATGTTTTGAAGCTTGTTGTGAAAGGAGATTAACTCTAAAATCTACTTCCTGGCTTTGAAGACTGCAGATCAGCATGGCTTTTATTATTAACCGGTCATTAGAGTGAGTGACATATAGAAGGAATAATTGCTTGGCTTGTTTCAGAGTTGAAGGATGTTAATTAAGAAGTTAAATGTTTGTTTTCCTTGCTTGGAACAAAGCACTCCTAGGGTTTGCACTGAGGGGGTGTTCTCCACCCCAGAGGCAGGTCCAGGTTTTGGGAGTGGGAGTGGTTATGCAGCCCCAATGCAGCCACATCATGGGTCCTTCGCTGTCCTGTCATCTGCATCCATGGGCAAGGTCCCACAGAATGCAGAGTGGAAATGTAATGGCCCTAAGGGAGGGTCAGGTTGGATATTAGGAACAATTTATTCTCCAAAGGAGTGGTGATGCACTGGCACACACTGCCCAGCGAGTGGTGGGGTCACCCTGGAGGTGTTCCAGAACCGTGAGGATGTGGCACTGAGGGACGTGGTCATGGGCATGGTGGGGATGGATTGACAGCTGGACTTGATCTTAGAGGTCTTTTCCACCCTTAATGTTTCTATTTTGGGAGCTTAGATGGGAAAGATTCTGCTGTGAGATGGGCGGGGAGAAAGTCATGCTGCAGAGCTTGGCAAGACCAAGGAGAGAGCACTGGTGGTGTGACAACACAATGCACATGGCTGCTGCAATGGCCATCACATCCAGACCCATCACAACGGCTCCTGCTTTGCCCCTCTCTCTTTGCAAGCTTTGCTGCATCCCAGGCAGACAGCGCTGCTCTTTTTGCAGCCCTCCAGCTCCAAGGTTTGGCACCAACAGAGGTCAAAGGAGGAACACACTGAGCAGCAGAGGATTGGCTTTGCAGCAGCGCGGTGCACACAGGGAGCAAACTGAGCAGCAGCCCTGAGGGTTTGTGAGGCTCTCAGGTTCTGCAGAGCCCTGGGGCTGTTTGCTCGCAGGAAGTAATGACAAGAGGCACGTCTGCAGAGCTCAGAGCTCTGAGAAGGCCGCGTTATATAATGCCGCCTGCGCTGTCAGGCACTGCGCCAGTGGGGTAAGGAGAGACTCAGTGACCTTTTGGTGGTGACACATGGGGAGAGCTGTGTGACTAAATCCAGCTCTGCTGTGCTCCTGCCCGCAGACGTTATATATGTGAAAGGCATTTGCATTTTACTTGGAAAATATATCCTGCAAAGGGGAAAGAGACAACACACTGCAGCCCGGCAGCTGTGCTTGGCCCCCTTCTGTGTTGCTGGTGCTGCTGCATGTGAAGGTGCAGGCTCTGGGAAATGGCCATAGGCTGGGAGGTGAGCACAGAAGAGTGATGCCTCCAGTGGCCATGCTGCTCTCCATAGAATGGAATGGAATGGAATGGAATGGAATGGAATGGAGTGGAATGGAATGGAGTGGAATACTGTAGTTAGAGTTGGAAGGTACTTTTAGACTATCTAGCCCAACTCCCCTGCAATGAGCATCAACATCTACAGCTCAATCAGTCTGCTCAGAGTCCAGTCCAGCCTGACCTTAAGCTCAAGGATAGGGGACTCACTGTGATGCAATCCCCTATGTCATCCAACTCTGTGATACTTGTTAACAAAGGAGGAAATGGAGCAAGGAAGAAAACTTACTGGGGTTGAACATTGGAAAATGGGCCATGACGTGGTTTAGAACAAAAGCAGTGTCATGGATTTCATCACAGCATCTGTATCCTTATTTTGGTGGCATGTACACAGAGATGCATGGCACTGGTACCATGTATTGATAGTACTGGTAAACCCCATAGCTCTGATATCTTTCTTTTCTGCAGTACACTGATCCTGGAAATCCTATGCTGCATTACGAGTACAGCGTATTGACCTGGTTACTGGGATGCTTGTGGTATATGCAAGACAGCAAACAAAGAAAGGTAGGAAACTAACAAGATGCCCTGCAGCAAAGCTTGGTGGTTGCTGCAGGATAGTGGGAAATCCCTCTGACACTCTGTGTAGAGCCCACCAGATGGGGTGCAGGCCAGAAATGTGCCTCCATGAGTACAAATCCTGCACCCTGAAGGCACTGTGGCTGCTGTCACTGTGTTGTCCCTATGCCACTGGGTTGGTGCACAATGAGCCCACAGCCTCTGAACACCCAGAGCTTGTCATCCCCTAAAAGTTCAGTGGGGTGGGGAAGTGGAAAAGCCAGCTGGGAATGCTGTGAGATAAGGAATGGGAAGGGTTCCCAGTGATTCTGGCAGGTGTTTTTGGGTACTCCAAGCTTTCTCTTACAAAAATAAAGCTTCCAGTTGAAGCCATTCTCAGCACAAAGAGCAGAAATAGACTCCACTCCAGGCAAGCAGGAAGAAGTAGAAAATAAACTCATGCTAAGATAGACCCTAATCCTTTTCTGGAGGGAACCATGCACCCCGCTCCCCCTGGCAATAAGGCACAGGACGTGGGATCCATTTTGAGTCTGGTGAGCTGCATTCCCAGGTGGGAGCACACACTTTCCCAGTGACTTAAATTTCTGCACTCCTGTCTTTATTTTCTCTTTAAATCATCTAAAAAATGGAGTCGCATCCCTTGGTGAAGAGACACGGGAGTTCTTCAGCTGAGGTTGCTGAGCAATTGATAGCGGTTTCTGCAGTCATCACTGCAATCATCCATGGCTATGGATGCCATGCAATGGGTTCTCTGAGGCTCTAAGTGCATTCAGGTGCTCAAACATAGGAATTTTCAAACACTGCAGTGAATGGCTGTGGAGGGAATGTAAAGGTCAGGGCATGATCCTGAAGCTAATCTCAGAATGGCAGCTGCACCCAGGGCTGGGCATGGATTAGAAGCAATGGAAACTCTGAGCCTGCTGCCTGATTTATCCGGGCAGGAATTTACTGCAGCTGGGCTGGGGCTACATTGCCTTTCCTGACCGCACTGTGTGTGAGCAGGCTGAGTGCTCCAAACTGCCTCTGAAGTGCTGTGCACCCCACCTGCACCAGGATGGCACGGCAAGGTTGGAATTCTGCTTACACAGCCAAAAGCGCCACCAAATTTGCAGAAATGCACTACTCTTCCCTCACTCACAACCCACCAGTTCTCACTTTTCCTCCTTGCTGCCCAAACATTGCAAACAAGTGCCTTTCTGGTGCGATTGTGTGCCTACAGCACCAGGTGCTCGTCCCTGCTGAATTGAGGTCTGTTTGTTCAGACCGTTGCTCCAATTTGCCAAGATCGTTCTGAATCCAAACCCCGTGTTCCAACACGCCTGCAGTTTCTCCCAGGGGGTGTCATCTCCCAGATTCTCCTCTGTCATGCTGATCACGTTAACCTGTTCAAGCAAGCATGGCCCATAGCAGTAATACCATCCTGCACTTGAAAAGGACCATGTCTTGAGCGCAGTATGGCAGCGTTCCTGCTCCCAGGTTGCAAGCAGATGCTCAAACAGTACAGAACCATAAATCTTTCAGTGATTTCTGAAGTCTGTTCTCTTTGAAGATCCTCCTGGTGCTTGCAATCCGTGTACATGTGCATCTGTGAAAGGAGCTGTCTGAGGTTTTTATTTGTAGGACTGCGACTGTCCTTTGCAAAAAAGCACAAAGCAAGCCAAGCTTCCTTGCCAAAGATGCTGGTATAGCTGCTTTTGGGATGCTGGCCAACAAGCAGAAATAGTGCCATTGATTTCAGCAAACCAGTCGTGCACCTTGCCTGGCACACACCTTGTGAATAAGCATGGAAAAATGTTGCGGACGACACAAGAGCCACGTTCTGTTTGCACAAAACATTTGGCAAACAAATGAAGAGGGAAGAAAGTCACACCAACTGCTCTGTGTTCATGATGCGGAAAAAGAGGGGGAAAAAAAGGGGTTGATTTTGTCATAAGCTGCACGTACCCTTGTTTGCCTGGCTAATGGGGGTAAAAATGTATGTGGAACAGTGCTGACAGTTTGCTGTCCCCAGAGGTGAGCATCTGCTCACTGCCATGTCCAATGGGGACAACCCAGGGTGTGGGTGCAGGCTTCCCTCGTCCTCCCTGGGTGACACTGAGTCACATCTGCTCTGTAGCTGTCCTGACGCTGCAGTGGCACAGCTATGTTTGCCACGATGGCTTCTCTGCCCAGGGGTGACATATGGAATGAAACTTTGAATGGAAGTTGCTCTTTGTCAAGGCAGTCAGTGCAGCCTCAGAACAAGATGTATCCAGGAGAACTCTGTAGCCACAGCAGTAAATAGCAAGCCAACATTTTTATCATTTTAAGAATGTGGAATTCAAAAAGGGCAATAAACCTCAAGCTCTTCTTTTTGCCTTATGTAGGCTCTGCCTTGTGAATCACAGCCAGATGTGCCAGAACACACGGTCTGAGGGTCAGGGGAGGATCACTGTGAGCAGCACTAGGTCCAGCCTTCCCTCTATCTTCCAGACAGTTCCCAACTTGGGGACAAATAACCAGGAGGGCATAGCCCTACCTCAGGATAGCAGATTTCCACAAGACACTGTGGGGAAATTACCCTTGTCCTATCCCTAACACTAAACCTAACCCAGAAGAATAAACTGAACCCCCAACCCTAACCATAACCCTAATGCTATAATAATTCTAACCCTAACCCTATCCCCAGCTCTAACTGTAACCCTTTCCATACACCTAATCCTAACTCTAATCCTAACCCTAACCCTAACTCTAACCCCAAACCTAAGATTAACCCTAACCCTAGCACAAATCCCAACTCTAATCCCAACCCTAACTCTAACCTATCCCTTACCCTATTCCTAACCCTAACCCTAACCATATCCCTATCCCTAACCATAACCCTATCTCTAACCCCAACCCTAACACTAATCCTAATCCTCCTCTAGCACTGATCTCAGAGCAGCTCATAATGCTCTGGTTACCCACATGTGACCCCGCTCCAGAACTGGGATTGGGCTCATTCCTAAATGCACCAAAAGCCCAGAGCCATTGCTGAGTTTGTGGATCCACACTCAGGAGCATAGATATCAGCCTGTCCCATCTCCCCTGCATGATTTATTTTCCACAAATCCTTGAACTGCTGTGATTCAAGGTGGAGAATCCTTGAAAACAATCTAAAGCTGGAGGAGTGCACTCTTACTTTGGGGTGTGTATACCTAGCTCAGCATGGACAGTTATGGACAGCCACATAACACACAACGGACCTTGCAAGCACGTGTCCAAAGCAATGTCATAGAATCACAGAATCACAGCACCATTATGGTTGGAAAGGACTTCTCAGACCTCAGTCCAACCCCAGCCCACCCCACCATGCCCACTGACCACATCTCTCAGTGCCACCTCCCCACGGTTCTGGAACACCTCCAGGGTTGGTGACCCCAGCACTCTCTGGGCAGTTTGTGCCAATGCATCACCACTCTTTCAGAGAAGGAATTTTTCCTTATATCCAACCTGAAAGTAACCAAACGGTTTCTTCATTAACTTCCCAATATTGGAGGATGATTAAACTCTGGGAAAGGAATGCGAGCAGCTACTTGGCATGGGGAGGGTGAATGACTGTGCTGGAGGAGCTCTGGGAGAAGGAAAAAACCACATCAAGGCTGTCTGCCTTCCCCATCCCAAATTACAGCACCCAGGGAGGAATACAGCAGGCGCTGGGTAAGTGCAGTGCAGGAGGCCGCCTGTTGTTTGAATGTTTTCCTTTGCCTTGGGTGAGTAAATAATAATCTGTTTTGGAAAATGTGCTGGGAGACACTGCCTAGCGTGGAGGCTGCAGGAGGAAAGCTGAGGACCGTGGTCAGGCACACGGACACTGAAGTCCAAGGCTCTGGGAGGTGATGGGATGGAGAGCTGGGGTGACTGTGGGAGCTGCTGGCTGTACTTGCAGCACTCAAAGAACTGCCCAGGGGCTTTGTCTGATGGGAGCAGTGATGGGCAGAGCTTCTGGGGTATTTTCAGTCCTCAGAGAAAAGCTGAAGTGGGCATATTGTTCACCTCCATAGATATCTCCACCGCCATAACCGTAACGTAGTAGAATCATAAAACCAGTTAGACTGGAAAAGATTTCTTAGATCATTTAGTCCAACCATTAACTGCCATGTCCTGCACAGAGGAGTAGAGCCTTGGTTGACAGAATCATGGAATCATTTCGGCTGGAAAAGACTTCTAAGCTCATCGAGTCCAACCATTAACCTAGCAGTGCCAAGCTATGGTGGCAGGGCCAGAAGAGGTCTGAGGTAGTTCTCCAGCCTCAGCCCAGCTGACATTTGAATGTGGAAGAGCTGAGAGCACATCAGAGCCTGAGCATCTGTCTGGGGGCTCCTTGCACTTCAAAGGACAGAGAGGCAGACCACCCTCCTTCCTGCAGAGCGAGCTCTCCAAACAGCTGTAGAGAGGAGAGAGGCCAAATCCAAAACCCTGCCAGCCCCTGACAATATGTGATCTATGTGCAGTTTAATGTTTGATGGCTGATGTCAAAGGGAATTCAGCTAAAGGCAGGAAGAGAAACACAAGGAAAACAAGGGTAGCCGTGCAGGGAGCCAGCTTTATGACTAATGCTACCTTCTGAGTAATGCTTATACTGAAACATAAATAACAATAAATCCAGCTCCACTCCATCCGGAGGACAGAGCAGAGCCTACTTTGCTTGGCCAAAACAGGCCTCAGTGTTTAACCACAAGAAAATCCTCCTGAAGTTTTATGACTTACTGTAAGGGCTGTAAAAGCCCCTCGGTTAGGAAATACAGCGTCTGGTGGATTTGCAGCATGAGCACTTGGATGGAGCTGTGTCCCATTTGGTTGCATTTTGGGAGGTGGGACAGGGCAGGATGCTGGTTAGCGTCAGGGAGTGCTTCCAGCTCAGCTGTGCCCAGTCCTGCCCTGCTCAATTTCCCCAAAGCTCTTTGGACAAGTGGCAGATTTGAGCCCCTCACTTCTTGCTCCCTTTGAAGCTCCCAATCCCGGGACCAAACAGCAGCTTCTTCTGCCCATGTTGCTTTGCCTTGGGCATGGGTCGGGGTGGGGATGCTGAAAGTCAGAATCTCCACATCCCTCCCTCTGCCAGAAGTGATGAGACCTACTCCAAAAAGTCCTCGATGATTTGTTGCTGAGACATTGTCTCCTGTGTTGGGTTTATTGGCACCTTTGGGATGCGGCGGGGTTTTCTTTGGATTGCACAAGTCTAAATTTGTCTGTCTAAAAATTGAGCTTTTTGCCAAAGAATGACATCTCTGATGGCTCAGTGTAGATGGAGACTCCTGCATGGTGGAAACAGGGAGGTCAGGCAATGGAGTGTCCTGAGGGATGGGATTTGGCCAGAGAACCAAGACTGAAGTCCAGAAAGATGCACGAGACACTGCAGAGCATTTCTGGAATAAAAACAAAAACAAAAAGCTATTGGTTTTCAGCCTGAAATTCTCAGAATTCTGGTTTTCTATGAGAAAAGCATTAAGTTTCTCCTGACCCTTCCCCTGGGGATGAGAGATGGATTTTTTTCTGACTCGGACTATTTTCTGTCCATTTGTAACCTCTCAGCACTGTGTGTTGGGGTAGCTCATGGGGCTTTTGGCAATCCCAGGTGGGGGAAGTGTCAGAATGGGTCAACCCAGGGATTCCTGAAGCACCACGATTCGTGATTCTTAGATAGGGGAATGGTTTTAAACTGAGACGGGGGGGTTTAGGTTGGATATGAGGAGGAAGTTTTTCACCCAGAGGGTGGTGAGGCACTGGCACAGGTTGCCCAAGGAGGCTGTGGATGCCCCATCCCTGCAGGCATTCAAGGCCAGGCTGGATGTGGCTCTGGGCAGCCTGGGCTGCTGGTTGGTGACCTGCACACAGCAGGGGGTTGGAACCAGAGGAGCACTGTGATCCTTTTCAACCCAGGCCATTCTATGGTTTTATGATTCTATGACAGTGGAAGCCTGAGTGGGAGGCAAACTTATAAGTGTGTGATCAGTGGAGATATTAAGCAGAGGTTAGCTTTCTCCCCTGTCTCATCCCCTGGGATGTATAAATCTGAATGCTGTCCATAAGAAATGTGAAAATAGTTCTTGTGCTCTGCCAGCAGCTGGGAAGGTCAGAGTTGGAGAAACTTATCCAGCTTGGGCAGAACCTTTAAAAGAGCGACACCCAAAGAGCATCCAGATCACAATCTGCAGTCCTGGAAAAACATCCTACAGACAACTGCACTTGTTTAGTCTAAAAGGAGGGAAGACACAATAATGGCCCTCAGCTATGCAAGAGATTGCTGGAAAAAGAAGGGAATGATGCTGGAATTCTGGGATGATGTGTGATGCTGGGAGCAAAGCAAGAAGCCTGGGGCTGCTTGGTGCTGGGGAAGGGTGATTTGGAAATATTATCCTGATGGGAGAGTAAGGAAGACACAGGTATGGCTATGGAGGAGGTTTGGGATCTCATCAGCGGTTTGGAGGATCCAGACAGGCTGGTGTGCATCCAGAGCATGGCTTATTCAAACTCCTGGAGTTTCCTCCTGTGCTCTAGAAGGGAAACCTTGCAGCCTGTGGTTCCTACCTGTGAGGTTGGGTGATGAACCCAGTGGTGATGCCAAGATCCCTGAATTCCTACTTAGGGTGGTTGTATAGGAAAAAAGAAGTGCAGGCTGCTGAGTACCGGCCAGAACAGTGTTGGAAAAAACTGTGGAAATGGGAGAAGCAGAATGTGCCCAATGAGAACGCTGGCTGCAATGGGCATTGCCTTGCTTCTCCCAGTCCTGGTCACAGCGGAGAGCAGCCTGGGTGTCTGCAGCAGGAGAGCAAAGCCTGTGTGGTTCTTATGCAGACACAAAGTGTTTTGGAAGCTAATGCATCAACTGGGTGATCCTAGAGAAAAAGAAAAAAAAAGGAGAAAGGAGAGTAAATAAGAGATAACACCTCCATTTCTAGCACACGCTGTGGTTATAGAAAGGACGCTTTTATTGCTTGTCTGCACTGCAGACAGATCCGCATGGTGTTATTGTGCTTGTCATGGCCACCCATGGACCTGTGGTTCTGGATGACAAGCTGTGCTGGCCACCAGCAGCTTTGGGCCACCTCCATCCAGGAGCCGTCACTCCAGCTGGATGCAAGCGGCCTCGCCATGAGAGCAACCTCCAGTAGCCCTGACCACAGCTGAACCCCTGGTGCTGCTCCTTCCCTATGCTGTTATTCTCAAAGCTCTGATGCAAAGCAGCAAGCTTGAGTGCATTTCTCTCAGATCTGCGTCAGTGCTTTTCTCAACAGCTTGGCAAGCAGCGTAAACATCCATCTGCACTTGTCACTGGTAGCAGTGCACATCATCTGGAGAGAAACTGGCTGTTTTCACATGTCCAATCACACAAGGAGCAAACAGTTGCTTTATTTCTGAGCGGGGCCACACAAACCATTAGACACCTCATTAATCTTGAGTTTAATTCCCT